ACTTCTACTGGGTGTTTTATACAATGACAATGACGCTCTTGTTTCTTTGCTCAGAATAAGAGGCAAAAGGAAGCAATTCCTTGGGCTGAACACTGGGCTTCAAATTAGAATGCTCCGGTCATATTTCTGATTTTCCATATTAGGAGAAATCAAGTAAATTTTACATTATCTCCGGCGCCATAGGCCAACTAGAGTGAGGTCAAGAGAAACATCGTCCTCGCTCAGGTAGGCTTCCCTCACAACAAGCAGTACTTGGCCATGTCCTTTCATTGTCCCAGAGGAAAGGCACACAAACACAGCAAGGGCTGATTGTAAAAGCTCAAGGAACTGGTGAATATTAGACTACTACTCACCAAAAGGCTCCGTGCATCAAAAACCTCCCCAGCAGCTTGCCCACCCAATTATGGTTTTCAGAAGATGTTTTGCAAATCATGCAGTACCAACTATACAGTTAAAACATAACTGGAGAGCTGTGACCCGGACATCTCAACTAGAATGCATGAGATGCCTCAGCAATGTCAGAGCTGAAGGGCTGGCCAAATAGCTCAGTGGATTAAAACCATTGCTTAGGCAGACGCAGGGGCCAGGAGTTTGATCTGCAGCCTGCCATGCCTTCCCTGCCCCCAGGGCTCACTGAGCCAGATTGAGACTGGGCGAGGTGGTGCGCATCTGTAATCCCAGCACTTGGGAGGCTGTAAACAGGAGGATTACTACGAGTCCAATTTACTCAGTGAGACCCTGTACACCCTGTCGTTAATACAAAAAAAAAAGAAAAAAAAGAAAAAGAAAAAGAAAAAGAAAGAAATGTCAGAGCTAACTCAGAGGCACATGCTTTGTGATCAAGTTCTCGGGGAGTCTATTTACAAAGAGAACAAGGCAAAAGAAGAGTAATCAGGGTATCAAAAGCTATGATATGCTGATGCTCCCCTGTGCACACTAGGGTGTTCATTTAAATGGAAGTGATTGTAATCATCAGTTATTCTTTTTTATTACGCACCTAATTTTTTAACGCTTTCCATGTTGTAAGCCCTGTTTTAGGTATTTTATAGTATTACCTCATTTACTACACTTTTGAGATGGGCACTCTTATCCCTACTTCAAAAACAGTAACTTGCCTGAGGGCCAGGGTTGGCAAAGTGGAGGTCCCAGGACTAGAGAGCCCCACTGCCCTGAATCAGGCCAGAAAGTCACAGCAAACCCTCACGTTTTACTCGTAGTCTGACCTCGAGTTTAGGGGTATTCTGAGGACTTTGCAGGCTTTAAATCTCTCAGCTTTTGATTGTATTTCCAAGTCTAGGGGCCAGGGAGATGGCTCAGTGGAATAAGCGATTCTCTGGCAAGCACAAGGGCCTGAGTTCAATCCCCAGTTCCACACACACACACACAAAAAAAAAAAAATCATTATGCCAAGTCTATGTCCTGGTAACTCTAAAGATTTTCCATTTCAGGAAAGAGTTGCCCTTGAGGACCCTGGCTATATCTCTGAGACAGCCTGGCCTCTTAGTGATTCTGGGAAATAGTCTAGCCTAAGCATTCAACATGGGTTTTTAACTCAGAACGTGCATCTTTGTCAGCTTCAGTTACAGAAGGGGCTTTCCCAAACCTTCTCCCGCCAATCACTGAGGCTAACCCCTTGAGGAGTCTCTGTCCTTTAAGTCAGTTTTGTTTTTAAACCAAATTACAAATAAACAAACACACACACACACACCCCACATGCAACCACACATGCACAACATACCCTTATCTTTCCATGTACTGATATATAATTAATTTTTTTTCAGTAATTTTGTCCAGCAGAAAAGAAACAATGAAAGTGAAAAAAATGTTTTAAAAGGTTATGAGGCAGAAACTTGATTTGAATGAGAGTTGAGAACTGGCACAGGAGCTTGTGAAAGTTTCAGCAGCCAGCAGCCTGGAATTCCCAGGAAGCAGATTGCAGTAGGTGGGCAGAGCCCAGGGCAAAGGCCGAGGGGGGCATTCCTGCCCTGCAGGCGGTGTTTCCTCCTCCAGGAGTCTGTATCCCAGGCTGGCCACTCTTGGAGCTTCTGTCACTATACCTGGCCCTGCCCCCAGGGTCCACAGCCACGTGCAAAAAGCTGACCTGAGCTTCAGCTCTTGAGGTGGGGTCTGAGCTCTTTTGAAACCATCCCATTTTCCTCTCAGAGACTTGTCTTTTCTCACATTATGTAGTTTAGGGAAAAAATTATTACAACAGCAATTTACTAGGTAAACAGATGTTTGTCCATTTTTTAAAAACCAGGTAATTAGAATATTCTAGGTCATTTCTCCAAATAGCCATTGGAAATGCACGACTTCCTGAGGTATCCTGCTGAGAAAATCTGCGGGACTGTTTCCAAGCCCACCTGAAACAAGTGCAGTGTTATGGTTTGTGTCTAGGTGTCCCCCCCAAGCCTTACTCAATCTTGGGGCAGCTTCTGGAGTCTTCAATTGATTATTGTGGGTGTGGATGCTGCACCTGACCTGGGGCAGGTAATTTGCATTTCAATGTAAGGAGGAAAGAGAAGTTAGCTGCTTGAGCTGCTGCTACTCCTCCTTTTGTGTTCTTGCTCCTTGCCACCACCATGAAAGATTGCTTTCTGCCAGTGCCAGGCTGCCCTGGAGGCAGCTGAGTACGAAATAAATCAGACATACTTGTTTTCTCTTATAGGAGAAATCCAAAGTAAAAAAAAAAAAACAAAACTGTGAACTTGGAAAGAATTCTTACTACTTGGAAAAAAGACTAAATAACTTTTGTGTCTTGGGTCTACAACACTCACACAAGAGATTCCTGAGGACAGTGGGAGAGAGGAAGAGCATATGGCAGCTAAGGACCAAGGACAGCACAAAATAAAGCCATTTTTATACCACTGCTCTTACTTTTTAGGCAAGTCACTATTATTGTTTTGTTTTTTCGGTACCAGGATCGCAGTAGGGACTTTGTGCATGCCAGTCAGGCACTTACGACACTGAGCTGTCTCCCAGCCCTAGTCAATAAAGTTCAAATTCTATTAAGGAAAGTACTGTGTGAGATTTTTAAGCTTCTTGAGTGGGAGGCATGGGTTGGTTTCCAAAATACTAATTTAGAATCTCAAATATTAAAGACATGAATTTTTCTAGAACTACTAAAATATTTCCTTTAAAAACAGCATCTAGGGGGCCAGGGAGATAGTTCAGTAGAATAAGTACTTGCGTGGTAAGCACAAGGGCCTGAGTTCAATCCCCAGTTCTGGGGGCACATGGGGGGGGGGGACAGCATCTAAGTGGGTGTGGTGGTGCATGCCTTTAGAAGCTGAGTCAGGTGGATCACTCAAGTTCAAGGCCAACCTGGGCTACACAGTGAGCTCAGTCTCAGCTACAAGGTCAGTCTGTACTACAAAGAAAGACCCTGACTCAAAAAAAAAAAAAAAAAAAAACCCACCAAAAATAAAATGTAATTTAAAAAGCAGCTATTAGAAGTAGTGATTTAGAGGAAAGAATTAGAAGAATACATGTTCCTGGCATCTTTTGATCATACTGTTGGATCTGATAAGTAATACAGATAATTTTCACTTTATAATTAAAATACCTCAAAGAAAATCAGTTACCGCTCCATGCTTACTTTAAGTTCCAATGAACCATTGTGATCAATAAGACAATATGGACTATGAGCCCAGAGTTTAGAGGGCACAACCATTTTCACTAGGATCTTTCATGTGTGTGTGTGAAGGTCAAAAAGGCCTTCACACGCACACAGCTGGCCTTTTAGAAAGTGTGTCAGCTCCAGAATCAAAGGACCAGGACTGACCTGGCTCCGATGAAACTGGCTGTCCTCTGGATGAGCCCCAGGACCCGGCTGGACCTTGCCCTGACAAGTGGGAAAGGACTCAGTGTCGGATCATGTCAAATGCCCATCAGGCCCTGCTGCTTTGCTTCTCTGGACTGCAGTGAGGCAGCCTGAAGGAAAGGTTACAGGATGGCTTAACAGCTTTCTGAAAGGGAAAGTGGCACAAGGTTTGGGCTAGAGTCAAAAGTAATCAGAAATGGATGACAGAGAATAGAAGTGGTCAGTTTCATCTTACAAAGCAAAGCAAACTGAGAATAAAGGCAACACTCAAAAATTTGAACAGTAAACTATAGTTATTAACATAAATGGCAAATAAAGGGGGAAAAAAACAGCTTGATTTGACAAAATGGAATCTGGAATAGAAGAAAATAGGACAACACAGGACAGAGCATTCCATGTGCCAAGGGCACCGTGACACAGCGAAGGCTTAGCAGCTTGGAAACAAATCTGACAGCACTACATAGCTTCCTAACAGTATTCACAGAGTAAAATGTTACTTTATGGCTAATTATTTCTTTGTCACTTTAATAAAACACTAGATTTATAAAGATATGACACTCACCTGCAGCATTCACAATTCTGTTTGCTCTCAGAGATCCTTGTGGGGTTTCAACATCCCAAGTTCCATCGGACCTGGGCTTCAGAGAAGTCACAGGGGCAGGATACTTTAAAAGGGCCCCGTATTTCCTGGCCCCAGCAGCCAAGGCCATCGTTAGAGAGTAAGGATCAATGTGACCATCTCCAGGGTTATACAGTCCAGCTAAAATCTAAATCAATCACATGAGAATCAGTGTTTACACAAATGGATACTACCTGACACAAATGTAGACCACCAGCCAATGTTTGGTAAAGCTGATCTTTCAAACTGCACCCGAGAAAGCTTGATGGCTGCACACATCTTGGTTTTCCTGAGTCCCGCTTAGGATTTGCAAGAGTGTCACATGGACAGCTAGGTAGGGGGCTTGCTGTTGTTTCCTAAATCCCCTCCAACTCTTAGTAGCAATGGAGTGCCAGCATTTATTGGGACAGTTGGCCAATAAGAACAAAGAGTACACAGGCCAGCCAGGTAGCTCAGCAGACTAAAGCACCTGCTTAGGCAGAGCACAATGACCAGGGTTCTGTCCCTGGCATGCTGTGCCAGTCCTGCCCCCGAGGCATGCTGAGACAGTGATTTAGTCTGTGTGTGCTGGCGGGTGCTTGTAATCCCAGCACTTGGGAGTCTGATCTGTGTAGTGAGACCCTATAGACCCTGTACTAAATACATTTTAAAAAAAGAACAAGGGTACAGTTTTCAACCTGCTTGACAGCTACTAGTTCCAACTGGTACCTAAATCTATAACTAAATTCTGATCAACAGAAACCCAAAGAAAATACTGCACATCTTCCAAAAATCATTTTTAAAGCTAGCTGGCACATGCCCTTCTTCCCTGTCCCTCCCTCCATTCTTCTATCTGCAGTGCAGACACCAGAGCCAGTACTGGCACTGCCATCTTAAGATTGTGTCATTAATGTGTCACAAGACACACCCCAGGGGTGACAGAGCCATGGTCTAGAGACCTGACTGTGTAAATGAAGCAAGAAAAAAACTTTATATCTAATTTAAGCATCATTTTTACTTATGACTTTAAAAAAATTATTAATTAGATACAGGGTCTCACTACACAGCTCAGACTCTTAGTGATCCTCCTGTTTCAGCCTCCCCAGTGTTGGGATTACAGGTGTGCTCCCCCATGTCTGGTTTCAGGGCTGGAACAGCATACAGTACCAGGTACCAGGTTCAAACTTGGGTCCTTGTGCTTGCCAGGCAGGTGCTTAGACTGATGACCTAATTTCCCAGCCCTATTTCTGACCTTTAAAGCCAGGTCTAATGCTAACTATCATAACAGCTATAATTTATACTTAATTGTTTAACATTGTTAATAAATTCACATGTTAAGTCCAGAAAAATGTATATAAGCTAAATTCAAAATTTCACAACTAATTTTTGCCTCCCAACTTTATGTTAGAGCTTTAGGCTAGATACTTTAGGCTAGATACTGGAAACAGAAGAATTTAAAAACAGAGAAGGAAATTAATTGACAGAATGAACACACTGAAATATTATAATTGTAGGTCTTACCTACTTGACAAGAATCTATTTAGCACCAAATATGAACAAAAAGCTCTTGTCAAAAATTATTCCCACAGTTCTTTCAATGATTGTGTGGTTTTGTCCTTCATCCTATTAATGTTGACTGACTTTCAGGTGTTAAACCAACCCTGCATTCCAGGGATATGTTCCCCAGTCATACCATACCATCCCTTTGATATACTGCAGAAGTCAGTTTGCCAGTATTTTGCTGAGGATTTTTTTATTTATATTTTTTCTTGTGATATCTTTGGTTTTGGTATCAGGGCAATATTGGCTTTATAAAATAAGTTCAGAAGTGTTATTTTCTACTTTTCAGATTGCAAAGGGTTAGCATTAATTCTTTCTTCAATTAATTCTTTCAGAATTAACTGATGAAATCATGTAGACCTGGGCTTTTATTTGTGGGAAGTTTCTGACAATAAATTTAATCCTTTCAGGTACAAAGAAGTTTTAGTTTTAATGAAATTTACATTCCCAAAACTTCCACATGTCATATTGAGTATTTTGTAAATGAATGTGTCCTTGTCATAGTGACCTCCTATCTGATTGGATATCCTGCCTGGATCTAGAGAACACCCTCACAAGGATTT